CTGATGGCTGGGCTGTATATGGATGTATCGAACACGACAGTTCTGGACGGTCAGATGTCGCTTCCTTCGCCACGACCGTCTCCGACCCATCCGCGTTCCGCGTTGCGGTCGAGCGCCGGGAGGATGTGGGCGCGATGGATCGGCACAAGGCCAAGATGGACGCTTGGGGCGAAAGGGCTGGAACTACTGATACCTACCGGGACCTACCCAATACTATGGGTAGGTATCTGAACTATATATCTCCATAGAGGAAAACTGAAAGGGCACAAGGCCAAGCGTCCAACTATATATCTGAGCTATGGGTGGGATATACTTTTGTTGGCATATAATTGGTTCGGGTCTATGGAGATGTATAGTTCAGATACCTACCGGGACCTACCCAATACTGCCTAAATTTTCTCCATTGACTGACTGACTGACTGACTGTCAGATTTGTGTAGAGGTTCTTGGATGGTTATGGCATTTAGCCGGCTTTGGGCTTTGGAGCAGTGACATGCAGATCACAACAGATCTTAAACCTCCAGGTGAGGTTTAGCTGCTTGCCTGTCAGTTGTCTTATCCTGAGGTGGGTGTGTATTTTGGGTTTATTTATGTCTGATGTTCCCTTTTCAATTGGGCGTTGCCTGCGAGGTCTCCCTAATACCCAGCTTGCCGTATCTCATCCACATCTCGCTCCAAACAGGGGGGGTCCGCTCTACCAGATGACCCCCCACACCGAACACGTTAGGGATCGGTGGAAACCGGCCTTATTGGAATTGCTGCAATGTGCTGCAACGGTCCAACCGTTTCAGGTCACTTTGGGGAACATCCAAACTCTATGGATCTGCATCTTTTGTCACATGATGTGGCGGAAAATCCGGGAAATTCGGGGAAAATAGTCAGCCGGAGTCTCGGGTTGCAGCTTAATGGTTTTAGGACACAACTTGCATGGCCGCTCACTGAGGATGGTATGGCTGCCATTTATTATTGGGGCTTGAAGCAGAGTGTTGAGGCCGCGCCCAGCGCCACGTAAGTGTGCCAAACACGCACACACTTAGGCTCGTACTTGCAAAAGAGTCATTGCTGCTATTGATTCAAAATCAGGTGATGTTTGTAACATATGGCATATGGGAACCACTCCTTCCCAGGATTTCCTGAGATTCCCACTCCTTCACCTGTCCTTTGTTCAGCCTCAGACCCGATTCTCCCCAAAAGATCCATATGAGGTTGAATCCATGCACAAGATCTTATAAGACCACCCCACATCGATGGAAGCAATCTCAAACACTGAATTAATCATATATATATATATATGTGTGTGTTTTGTAAATATAATGCAGCATGCAATTTTATGGAGTTTCTCATGTTCCTTTTCCGCTAAGACGCTAAGATTTGTTTCAACCATAGACTTGGGGCAAATGCATTGATTCTTGAAGAAGACACACAAGAGATTGCTGCAAAATTATGGAGCTGAGGCAAGATGAGCAGGACCAACATGCAGATGTTGTGTCATGATGACTGATACGGACAGCCCCCCCAAAGCCAAATCGGACTTTGTTTGTGTGTGTGCATGCATACTGTATACAAAGATGCATTCTTTTCTGTGAGAATATTGAGCTACCGTTCAGTAGAACTTTGTTCGACTAGGGCTTTTGAACATGCCTTTGAACAACCACCGAAGATGTGCGTTTCAATGTATTAATGTATGTCGCCATGTGGAGCTGTTCTCATTGGTTCTCTCACACCTCAAGCTCCCATAGCAAGCGCGTTCCCTGCCTCCTGAGTTTGGCAATGTTTGGCAGCACGAGACGGGTTTCAATATTGGCGTTGCTGCCTTCCATCAACATGGTCGACACGGTCATAGTGTTTGGTAGATGTGATGTGGGGTATCCAAATTTATTCCACCAACAGACTGCAAGTCAGAATTGCTTGCAACTTATTAGTCCTGTGATGTCCTGTGTTTCGGTGTCCCGATTCAAGTGCCACACCTTCAGTATCAAGGCTTTGATATTTAAGGGAAGGAAGAAGGTTGATACATGTTTGTCCAAACATTACTTGCACCTTCTATATTACTATATTACTATATATGGCCATATATATATATAATACCCTCCGACTGTAACTAACATGGGAAGTCAACCATCCACCTGTTTTCTTTTTTCAGAGGAAAAAACAGTACTACCGTGGAGTCCATTTGTTCCACTTCCCGCGAGCGCGGGTGGGCCCGGAAGTACTTAATGAACAGCTAAGAAACACTGTATTATATGCTAGATTTCCACCCTTTTGCCAGGGCATACAGCATAGGTTCTTTTTCCTTTGGGTTTTGGGTGGGTTTTGCCAAACGGAACATGGTTGAGTGTGAATCTGTGTGAATCTTCAATCAAAGACTCGCTCTACAATCAGATTTTTCTTCACTTCATTCCAAGTGCATTCAGAGAATGCCCGTCCATGGGTTTCAAATGCACCGGGTGCCTTTGCCCTTCAAGAGTTGAATCCTCTACATCCTCCAGGAAGCAATCCCGGATGTCACTGAAAAGCTTCAGCCGCTAGACTGGGCGACCTCGTACCGGGCGACCGTGACATTGCATCCAGGGTGAGGTCCAGAAACTCGATCGGCCGCCGGCGTTGGAAAAGCGGCAGCCGCGAAACACCACGAAACGTGAGACGTAAAGAGCGAGTCCCGCCGGCGAGGTCCCGCCCATGGGTGTGCCCGCCCGCCAATCCACGTTGATCCACAGGGAGATGGATTAGCTTATTAATATTGGCTTCAGTCTTGGTTCCTGGACCTTTGCGAATAGGTTTCAGTATATTGGTTGGTGACCTGTCTTTCTCGCTCTGTTGCCAGTCCAATCCCTGACTGAAGAATAGATTCAGCAGCCTAGGAAATTCATGGGTCGACCTGGGTTTGACTCAAACAGTTACAATTGGTCTCGAGAAGATGGCACTGGCACCCCAAGATGTCCTTTAGATGGGGGTCCAATATAAACATAGATGAACGGTAAACATACATCAACCGCTTGGTGGGGGATTGTGCCATCTACTCTGAAACCACTAAAATGTCAAGAGATGTTGAGAAACTTGATGTGGGTGTGTTCAGGAGCTTTGGTTTTTGTTTTTGTTCCTTTGCAAAGAGCCCTTGGAAGATTCTTCCAAGGGCTCTTTGGGGGTCTCCCTATTTAAGTACACAATACCCACGTTGTGCTGGGAGTTGGCTTGTTGCTTAATGCGCTGCACGGCAGCTCATGCTGTTTTCCTTTTTGTCAAGTTACTTTGCAGCACACTCCACTCGTTCCACTCCAAACCCTAGTTCATCTAGGGGGTCAATCAAGTGCATCCCTTAAGTTCAAAACATGCCTGCCGTTTGTATACTGCTTGAGAAGCATTGCAAAACGTACTGGTGGTGCCCCGGACGTGCTTTTCGGACAATCGCACAACGGTGATGCTTTTTGGCCAGTTTTGCTCGGGAAACTGGAATGGTCCGACTGGCGACTCAGCTTCTGGAGCTGCAAAGTACTTCAAGTACGATTTAATGTCATCCAACCAAGTTAAAAAAAGCTGGCATGGTGGACATTTGAGTTCGGCTTTCCAATTCCACCCTCCCAGAAGCACACTTTGGCAATCATGTTGGCTTCTTCGCAGCACACTTGCAGGTAGGGTAGAAATGAACCTATGAATCAACCAAGGGTGAAGCTAGTATGGTGCCAGAAGCAAAAGTAAGTGCCCATAGTCACCCCGGACCCCAGTCAGCCATGGCCATGGCTGCTCCTAGCTTCTTTCCTCGTCCTGTGACAGCAACAGTGACCAGCTTGGAAGGTGGGGGGTGGGTCGAGGTTGGATTCGTACCACAGTGTTACTGGAACTGCGTGGTTTGAGTGGATCAATTTTGCAACTATATAACTTCATGTTCCACACTCAATTCAGGTCAGATAAAAAAGACAGGATATCATACTCTTAAGTCTTGCGATCCATGGAATTGCAAATCTATGGCCCTTTACCTTCAACATCCTTCAACTGGAAGCCATTTGGACATCATTGGACCGTGGCCCCCCTCCCCTCCCGCCCTCCCGCGAAGGCCAAGGCAGCCCAGGACACCGAGATCTTCGTGCCGCCAGGTGAGGGCGGGGTGGCACCGGCGGGGTGAAGACCGGGGTTGGCTTGGAGTTCACCGGGGTTGGTTGGCTTGGTTGGCTTGGAGTGCGGGTTGGTTGGCTTGAAGCCTCCTGAGATTTCTCACCTCGAAACTGCTAGGCCACCGCCAGCAAACCATGGAAACTGCACCTGCACCCTGGCAGTTTCCATGTTGGTTTAGAACAGGCCTAGGATATATGGTGTGTTTCTGAAATGTGGGAATTCTTTGAGGGAAACCCTAACTGTGATGTTCCCCCGGTACCGTTTGTCCATCACCATGTCAGTGAGGAGGGGTTTGAGGAAGAATCATGTGTGCATGCTACTTTAATGCTTCCTTTAATCTACTGCGGATTTGGAATATCAACACTGGCATTCAACAGACGTAAAATCATTTAAAGTACTGATCAAAACCAATCCATGCGTTACTGGCGACCACGCAAGTCCAGTGCACGGCCGAGACCCAGAAAATCCAGCCTCGAAAAGTTGTATTTCTGGCAGATTGAGTGTCCCTTGGGGGGTCCTGAGGATCATTTTGCCCATCAAGAGAGTCACACCAATAAGCTGGTCAGCTGATGATCGTCAAAAAAGATGGACTCCCACTTATGCAGCAGCTTGAAGTGGCCATAGCATCACGTTCATGTGGTCAGGACATTAGGTCACAACATTAACAAATATATGTTTTTTCCAAGGGGCCGATGCAGCAATGCAAACTCATATTATGCACTTGAGTTTGAAGCAGCCGCACATTGGACAGCAGCCCCCAAGAAATAAGCAAAGCATAGCAAAGCTGCCAAGCTCCACTACGGATGGTGGAGTTATTCTTCGCATGCGCGAGTCGCCCACGACCCATCCAGCGAGTTCCGCCGATGACGGGCGTCGATCCTTTGTGTCCTATGGCGAAATGGACGATGACGCACTTTGTTGGGATCTTAGTTCCAAGCAGACTCTTTTATCTGTGCATGGACATGCTTTGACTGTTTATTGTTCTGCTCGGCTGTCGGATTGGTGCCAGGGAGACAGTGCGAAGCATGTCCAGCACAACATCGATGGGATTTCGGAGATCTGAACAGTTGCATTCGTAGCTTTGGACTTGGATCCCTCAAAGGTGCCCTGTGAACGCAATAGCTCGATAACAGATATGAACAGTTGGACAGTTGGACGCATCAGATTCGAGCTGCGGCAGAGCGGCGGAAGACTGGAGCAAGCACCTGGCAATTAGGAGATCCTTTTCCAAACCACCTGGCATTTAGATAGGATCTCCTGCTGTGGACTGGAACAACCACCTGCATCATAGCAAGCGCCTGGCAACTAGAATTCGTAAAGTTGCTTTGATGCAGGTTCACCTGCCAATTGAGCCCTTTTAACATGTCCAGCCAGTCGCTGAGGTGCTGTCCGCGGCACTGGGCCACGTGTGTTTGGCATGTTTGGGCTGGGTTGTGGGTTGCGTGGTGTGCCATGGTGGGCCCCTCGCGGGGTGTTTGATTTCATGAACATCGTTCGGAGGTTGCTGGCACATCAACTGCAACTCATGTCAGTCCACAGTTCTGGCAGAACCCACAGTTGAGAGGATGATGATGTATCTACCATGTACTACTACCCATCATTCTCATCATCCTGGAGAATCCACTAGATTCTCAGCTGCTACCTCACCAAACAGATACAATCTCCATCACTGTGTTTGTTCACATCAACCTTGTGATCTCCCGGACGCGGTTCTTCCAGGCGCTGGCATACCTGGCGACCTCGGTCGACGTGCTGGTCGTGGGCGCTGGCGCGCCGAAGCGGAAGGGAGAGCCAGAGTCGAGAGTGAATCGGAAGAGTTGGGGCAACATGGGGCAACCAGGTTTGGTGAGTTCTCTTGAGTTTTTTGGGGCTTTTGTCCCGAAGAAAAGTATAAGAAACTTCCTGAACAGCACTTTGGCTGCTGGCAGCCGCTTGTTCGCATCGAGTCGGTATGCGTTTGAGATGTTGGGGAGATGTAAGTTTCTAGGCGGGTCATGTATCGATCATATGGAACAGAGGAACAATCCTCATTCCACGCGCAAAAGAACGATGGAAGCCATCAAAATAAGGATCCTGCTTTCTCCCTCAGACAGCCAAATTGAACTACTACCAACCTTGGAACAAATTCATTATTGAAGCTCACTGTTTCGAGTCCGACCAAACCCCCCTTCTACCGGACCAGGGGGGGAGGCCATACCTCCGCTACGCAGGGCAAGCGGGGATGTCGGCCGCCTACGCGCTGCGCAAGATGGGCCTCTCCGTGCAGATCTTGGAAGCCACGGATCACGCCGCCTGGTCGGCTCGAGGGGCGTCGCACCGCCGAGGCGGAGATGGAGCGGCGAACCACGGAGTGATGGTTGGGGGCGGAAGGTCGCATTGAGACGGTGCTCTTTGGGAAGGACGGCAACCGGAGGATGTTGGCCTTTCCATTGAGGGGTTGCAATGCGGACATGCAGTCACCGAAAAGATAGTAGGTTCCCAGAGGTGGCATTTCAGCGATCAAATCAACTTCAAACCAGGTGCGGTGACCTCTCAGCCATGAGCCGATCTTTCAGCTGAGGTAGGTGGGCGCACGCGGAATGTGGATGTGCGCACAGGCCCCCCCGCGAGGGCCGGGTGGAGATAATTGGATCTGTAGACTGTAGACTGTAGACCAAGCAAAACCCAGAAGCAGAAGCAGCAACCACAAAGCAATAACCATTCTTGAAACCATTCTTATTATTTGGAATGATTGGTGTCAAAATGAGCCGAGAGAGACATCCAAACAATTTTGTATTGGTTTCAGTACCGGAAGAGGCTTTTAGTGTTTGTCCGTGCTGCCTACGGTGAATCATCATGAACTTTCAACAAAGTCCCGGAGAACAATCCCTGGGCCCCAGCAGACCCAGACACTCCATGGGACTGCCATAAATGCCTACATTGACCCCTTTTCAACCACGCCAATGCAGGTAAATATGCCAGTCCCATGGAGTGTTTGGGAGAAAGAAGTTCACCCAAAAACCGCCGTTCACCTCAACCCGGTTCACTTCCCACCGCCCTTCCGACCGCCAGAAAACCACCGCCAACCGTGTCAGGGCAATCGGATGTGGAGACGGATGATGTCATCGAGACTTGGGTTCGACCAGTCGGTCGGGTTGCGGGACTGGGTGAATCTTCCAGTCCCAATAGGGCATACATATAATGGGCGATGTTCTTTTTGTGTGTGTGTTCTGGTTTGTTTATTATTGATTTGTTTCACTTAAGAGTGTTCTGTTTTGTCACTGTCACTGTTCTGTACTTGTTACAGTTCTGGTGTTATGGGACTTGCAGGCTAGCAGAACTGATCGGCGTTTCCCTGTGCAGCGATGCAGGGAGGCCTCCCTGGCTACCCTGTTGGATTCCTCAAAGGACAAGACGCAAACAAAACCGTTGAGATGCTGGGCTGGCTGTGCTGATGGGTATGGATCTGACAACACTCTCTGAAAGCATCATGGCAGTGGATGGCACCACCTGAGCAACGTCATGCGGAGTTCATGGTCACCCCCCATCCACGAAAAGGCCCATGAGAAGGAGTGTGGAACACCAGTTGATTGGGCACTCACAGGTGTCCCATCGACCATCCCGACATGTTCAGGATGTTGCAGTTGAATGGGACCTGGTTGGGTCAAAGACCAGGCCCCCAGGATGTTGTCAATGACCTCGTTAAGCCGTGTTGGAGATCAGGAGGATTGGTCGAGTACAGGATCAAAGCTTGGAGGTTCTCCACCCAGCTGGGTGGGAGCACTTGGGAGCACCGGCCCGAGGAAATCGGTGGCACATGGCTGAGCCCGGAGCATTCTGCAGCCTTACGTTTGGCCACAGAGCTGCTGGGCAGGGTGGGCGTTGTGATCAGACCTGGCCGGTAGAAAGAAGGACACATGTGAGGATGTTACTTTCAAGACTGGGTGGTCTGAGCAGATCTTGGTGTTAGCCGATCGTTTGCACAATTTCTTTGCCAACAGCAAGCTTGCTTGTGCGTTTAGAAAGGATCTTTACATCACTGGTTGGCCCACCAGTCTCATGAAACTCACTGCTCCCTTGTGGCTCAGCGAAACCCATCCTTTGACCCAGGTTAGGCATCGAGGTGTTCAATGCCAGCTTTGTGACTGCCAGCGAGGCCTCGAACGCTCAGGAACCCGCTTGAGGGTGGAGGGTGGGGAAGGTTCAGGGGATGGTTCCTTCCACCTGGAGCCCGACCAGTCCGGCCATGTTTTTCGAGGTTCGACCGATCTTCCAGGTCGGGTCGTGCCCCTTGTTTCGGATGACCCATGGCACCATGACCCATAGCCATGACCCGCCACACGGTCTCCGGGTGTGTGGAAGAGAAAGCCCAAGCTCATGAGGCGGGTGACCATCAGATCATGTTTGCAGATTTGCAGGATGGTAGAAATTGCGGTCCCCTGTAACTGGGCTGAGTCGTCATGTGGTTTTCCCCATGGGGGGTCGGATATTTGAGGAACATGCAACAATGAAGAACGCTGAGTAGGAGAAACAGTTTCTGGGCGTTCCTGTATTTGCAGGATGTTGTATTGATCCTGGCTTAGTTCTTGCGCTTTTTGCCCACACGAAGACATGTTCTCTATTGTTTTCTCCTATTTGAGATATTAACCCTAGCCTTCCAAAGGCGATTAAAACAATAGCCGTTCAAGTCAAAGTACATTTCCATAAATGGTACTTGGCTTCACGCTCATGGCCCCCCACCAAGATGCTCTCGATATGTATAACCTTTTTTCACGCGCGCCCTCGCGCCATCCGTAGTGCCACAGATCTGTTGAGCCTGGGTACCACACAGGCTCATGAGCATATGTCAAGCATATGTTGCACACTTGCCATATGTACTGCATTTTATGCATGCATAGGCCAAGTAACTGGCGAGCCCTCTTCTTGGTGTTCCAGATCCTTAGCCGATTGGGGAAATGGTATAAGCAGTAAGCCCCACCACAGCCAATGGCCAAGAAAGGATGTGCAGCACACACACATGCATACATCTTACATGCAAGAAGGAGTCCGAAGTCGTCCGCATCTGATAATCCAGCGGGTCCTCTGGAATGGGTGCGCCTTGAGATATATACCTGAAGATGGTTCGAGTTGCAAGGACCTTTTTTCTACCTTTTGAGGGGAGAGTGCACAAGAGCAAAGCTAGATCGCGTGCATCCCAAGTACTCTTCACCCAGGCCATTGCATCCTCATCTGCAAAGCAATGCCAGAAGCGGGGATTTGATCCTTAAAACAGCAATGGAATAGCCCAAGTTCAGAAAAGCAGACCCTAACCGCATGCACACATGTGCACATGTGCACATGTACTGCAACCTCCATGCAAGTGCACATGCATGTGCAAATGTTGTACGTGTTTAACGATCTATACTCCTTCAAGGCTCTGTTGTGTTTGATCAGCTTGCAAATGTGCATGAGAGCCTGGGCTGGCATTTCAAAGATTCAAGAAAGTGCTATCCCTTTAGCTAGATAGCAAACTTCCAGCCCCAGTGTCACCTGCCAAGATGCATGTAGTTTTGGAGTGATGAAGAACTCTTGCAAGTGTCGCCTGGCATGGTCATTCGTGAATATCACCCATTGATTTTATGCGTCGATCGATCAATCTAGACTGGATGGATCGATCATGCTGACATCTCGATCAACATTTGACCTAGTGGGAGGGTTAACACATCGAGAATTGTACCATGCATGGTTTATGCACTCCGGGCTCTGCTGGTCATCTTGCGCTGCTCTTGGCTATGTGCATGCATGTACTCTCCAGGACTAATTATGACATAAATTATTAGAAGCCTGCCCAAAACAAGCCTGGCACTAATAGTGGCCAGCTGCTTCCATAGACGCATGAATTTGGAGCCATCGGCATAGATCGATTCTGACTCACTCTCACTCCTGGGACACGAAGGGATCGATGTATGAGACAGTGCAGGTAAAGGGGCATTACCTCGATCGATAGACTATAAACAACAACATCACACACCCACAAGATGCATAGGGCATGCAAGCTAGGGTCAGAAAGCGTCCGGCAGCTTCTATGCCCAGAACAAAGCGACTGAGATGCAGCCTGGTGGGCCAGGGAAGGATCTTTTGCTGTCCAATCCACCAAAAGTTGGGACAGCTATGTGGGAGTTGCTGCAAAGCGTATAAGATGCAGGCACTCAGTTTTGAGTACAGTTGACTGATCGATGTTTGATCAAAGTCAAAAAACAAGATGCACCTAGGCACATGATTCATCATGGGTACCCACACTCACCCACAACATAGGGCCATCTAGTCCATGGATCCAGTGATTTGGGTTTGGGAGGATTGAGTCGACGATCGATAGATGAGTAATATAAATTATAATAATGATCGATCATCACATCACGCCCTCGATGTGCAATAATATGTGCTTGGAAGATATGCATGCAGTGAAAAAGGAACACTGGTTGCATTGTATATAAATTGAAAAGATAGTACATGCCTTGCGCGACGAACAGCTGGCAGACAAGGTACATGGCTAATGTCACCATTGGTGTGCGATCATCCTTCACAGACAAGTCCTCTCCCAATCCAAGAAGAGTTTCTGTCAACCATTGCTGCACGACACGGCCATTGTAGGCCTTGCACACCAAGAGGATATCGCCGCTCTTCTGATACAACTCGGCTTCACAAGAGATTATTCAAAAGTGCTAGCTAGCGAAAGCTTACAAATTCTCAATCCAGGCCCCTTTTGCAAGACCCTACAGCTGAGGGGCAAGTTTCTCCTGGAACGCTGGCTGGCTGCAAGAGACTTTTCGCGCAGAACACCAAGACTTGAAGTGCAAAAAGGCCCGGTGCAGCAAGACACGCCGTGAATCTTCCAACGGATTGCCCCACAGCCCACTTTGCAAAAGCAAATGCCTGAGCAAATGGAGCGTGCACGCACTGTACACCATCGATCTATATATTGACAAAAAACAAATAATCTATAGAACTGTACAATATTTGAGCAGCCAAATTGCATTGAGCCTCCATTGACTCGATATAGGATTCCTAAATGGAGAACGTGCATTAAACACCAGCGGATAGTCGAAGGATGGAAGCCAATAAGTCCGATCAAAGGGCCTAAGCTCAGATAAGTTATTGAACCACCATCTATCCACCAGCTTTATTTGTGCATTCACTACAAGCCATCAACTGACTGGTGCAAAAGTCTTAGATCAACATATTTTGACTGTACACATGTCTGTCACTTAGCCCAAAGAAAGAGGAGGTCCATAGAAGAGCCTATCTACCAACCTGTCCATGAATCAACACCAAGTCACATACATCTCTGTGAGGGCACCTGTGCGCCAGAAAGCCAATGGTGGAAAAATCCACATGATTGGCAGGTTCAGCCCAGAACAGCTTCTGCGGATCTTCGCCATGGGCTTGCGCATCACAAATGTGGCAGACATGCTGCGATCTCCAATGGCAATCACGGAAACGCCAGACCTTCTTGGCCCATGCCCAATCCCCCCTATGTTCCACCACCTGAAATCTGCCGGACAATGGCTTGCCAGCCAGCTTCCCAGCGTTTCCTCCAAGAACTTGACCTCTGTGGTCTGTCTCAGGGAATCTCCCAAACCAGGCATGGTTGCAGCTCCACGTGATCCGTCGAAGGAAGTAGTTGAGCGTCTTTGAAGTCATCCGTTCCTCAGGGATAGCGAAAAGGAGGAAGCGGCTAAATCTCACAGAGCTCGGTTTCCACAAGGGTATGCTCAGGAACATGGCCAGGATGTTCTCACTTCCAAACTTGGTGGTGACTTTCGCGGAGTCACCGTACAGGCCAATTGGGTATATCGATTCTGAAGCAACATTCTGGGCCCATGCTTCCCCGAACAATTTGGATGATCTCCAGAAGTGCGATCGCTCTGACTCGGGCACATCAAGCTTTCCTGACCCAACAATGTAATCCAAGGTCAGGTGAGGATCCAAGATCGGCCATGACTCCATCAAAACAACAGTTTTCCCATTGGAGTCTTTGTACTTCACGGGCACATCAATATGGCTGATTTCCTTATTGGCAGTTCTGGCGACTGGCGGGCTGAAAAGAACAGGCAAAATGTGTATTCGTCCTCGAAAGTGTTGGAACATCAAACACATGTTCCACATGTCGAGTCATGACCTGGTAGCCATGCGCACTTGATCAATGGGTGCAGTGAATGCAGTTGATTTGGCTTGACATAGTGACATGCAGTAATAAGGATCCTGTAGAACCGAGCGTTCCGTTCAGTGTATTTTAATATATATATATTATATTTATATTGATCGACCGATATCGAATAAAAATTTTTTAAAAGGAAAAATCCAGTTTGTGCGCAAGGTTCTGGTCCCCCATCAAGGGTACGCCACCAATCCCGCGACGCATTGCCATGGGACAAGAGGCCTAGTTTCCGGGTCAAAGGATGCAATTCATCTTCATGGCCATGGCAGTCCTTGGGATGTAGGAAGGGATCTTAGCAAATCACCACTTCGGGATTTTGGCAGACAGCTATTGGATAGATCTTTGCAACCCCCAATGGCCTATGCTTCAAAGTGAGCACACTTGATCATTGCTCCAGACATGTTGAAAGAAACATTCCAAATTAAATTAACTATTGGCCAATTGGCCAAAGTGGACCACTGTCAAGTCTATGGACATGTTGTTGATTGGGAATCCCAATCAATTAATTGCAAGTAGAATACCCAAGGCCAAGTTTGGTGTTTATTGGGAACCAGCATATTTTGGTCGGTACATGCAAACGCTCCGATTCGTCTTCGGCGATTCCACGAGTTCATGCCCAGGATCACTTACATGGGCACGAACATGCTTCATGGCCTTGCCAACAGTACTGCCCTGAGCTGCCGGCTGGGGATGGTTGACTGAACCCCATTCAAATCCATCAGCAAAACATATATTCAGTGGATACTAGTTTCAACAAATTCGAGTTGATGCCAATTATAATACATGCACTATCGGTCCAAGATGGACTTGGGGCTCCAATGTTGATGCAAGGGGCTCCACCACATACTTCATTGACTGCAATTTGCAGAACTTGACCGGGTGGTTCACAAGAATCACTGTCACCTGCGAAGGGTTTCAGGAGCTAGACCAGGAACCTTAAAACAGTGCTATTTTAATAAAATTGTCCTGTGAATTCAAGTTCAAATCGGTTGGGTGGCTAGCTAGGCCTGCGCTATGAGCTGCTGATTTCTACAACATATCTCTTTCCCTTTCGGGCAGATTCAAAGATCTCCAACTATGCTCAAAACGATGATCCATCTACTCTCTATATGCTTGGGCATGTTCTCACCCAGATTTGGGCTCACGTGTAGAGCGATTGAACGTCACTTCTCCCCCTCGAGCAAGGCATCACCAGCAAAGTTGGGCAATCCAGAACCATAAATCCATGACTATGTACGCATGCATGTTTGGTAATATCGGTGGATTATGGAGCAGGTACCATGTTAACATGCCGCAAACCTGATGACAGAACTTGACGACACCTTGCTCACCCATAGAAGTGTTGAACTCTAACGCATACACATAGCTTGGCTGTCAGTGAGCTTTGCCCAGCCAAAATCCTGAAAAGCACTGCATGTAGCTAGCTGCCCTGCTATCGATCACTTCATGTTGACCCTGACCAGGAACGACTTGTAATCATCAATGCTGTCTTTGGCAAGCTTGACGACATCGTCCATCCCAATAGCCTCAGACCCGAAGTCTATCTAGGGAGCAATCCAAACTTATAATAGTGTGTGTGCTAAAAAACACATTTGAACCATAAAGCTCGATTGCTGCATGAGCTGGGTTCAAGGAACCTCCAAGGTGTCAATTTTTTTCTGGATTTTTTGACGAAGATCGCAAAGGGTATTCTTCTTCCTCTTCAGCTGACACTGCACCGCTTTCTGGATCTCAGGTGCCCTCAGTTCGTGGAAAAGCACAGGCAGCACTGGAGACTCAGGAAGTTGGGGCAAGCCTTGGTCCTGTGGGTTGCAGTTGATCCTCACCCCCAATCCCTCCACCTATTTTTCAGAATGTAAAATAGATTACAAAAACATTTGGAGGTTTGACCAAATTATATTTCAACCCTGAGGAGGCCCCAATGCTGTCCAGCTCAATGCTTATTACAATCCTTCACTGATTGGGTTGTTTTCCTGATTGGGTTGCGTTGACCGAGCTACATTTGTCCGGCTTCCAACTATTGAACGACTATCATTAGGGGATCGTGATGGTTGCCAGTACTTGTATTGAAAGCCCCAGGTCTGCATGTGCGCATGGACATGCCCTAGTTCGTTGGACTAGTGCAGTCAGAGTGGTTGCAAACACTGCAAACAGCACCAAACACTGAAACTCATAATGGTATCAACGATCGACAACATAGATCCTTAGACTTAGGCCCATAATTATAAATGTTTTTAGCAACACTGACATGAACATCTCAAGGAGACGCCATTAGCTCAACAGGGATCGACATCGACAGCAGACCTGGCACCCCACCAAATGTTTCATGCGATTATGTAAATTATTTTATAAAATTTAATTAATATTATTGATATCGATCGATATATTATATTTGCTCACAGGGGTGCCTGCATGATGAACAATCGATCGAACCAAGTGCTTATATACCAGCCAGGGTTATGCCGCCCGACCTGAGGTCCCTGACATGTTCTCAAGCTGCTTCTCCTTGTTGCAGGCATCAACAATCTTGTCATTCAGCAGCCCAAGGGACTGGCAGGCAGTTTGCATATATATACGCTGGCAATGACATGTGCGCAGCATGCATATATGCATACATGCAGAAGCTGTGGGTACCTGCATGCATGATATGCACACACAGTATGTATATATACATGTTCCTAATAAGTCATCATTAACTCAGGAGGGAGTGCTGATTTACTTGCTGGTTTTGAGTCTCATTAAAAGAGCTTGAAAGTTGTACAACATGCACTGCATGCATAGATCGAGTTTTAGTAGATGCCAATGGCACAGTGCACCCAAATTGAACAACCAAGCCTTCTTCCCTTTGTTCATGACCTCCTTCTCGGCTTTCAGCTTCTCACGTTCCTCCTCCTTCAAAGCCTTTTGCTTCTCCTTGTCCATACGCTCCCTCCTCTGTTCTGGCGTTTCCTTTTTCTTCTTGCCACCCTTCTTGTTCTTCTTGCTTTTCTTCTTCTTCTTTTTCTTGTCCTCCCAAAATCACAAATCAGCTAAGAATCAAACAAATGCACGACATGGGAGTTAATGGCCATTTGCTACTCCAGAACATGTGCTGCAATAACCAACACACCCAATGGCACATACCGGCATTTACACTAGTCAGGCCACATGTACTTGTGTGTGGCTTGGTCATCAACGTTCGCTGTGTATAGTTCGATAGATCTTCATTAAAACAATATAACGTAGCCCAACAATAATTGCACACCCGAACGCATGCACCAATCTGCTACGTCTGGCTGAATTAATTCAAGTATGTTCCGAGTCGATCTATCTATACATGATGTAGCATCTCGCATATGACCCTGCCTTGGCTGACGAAGATTCACTGCTGCTGCCATCATCACTGCTGGAAGACTTCTTTGCTTTCTTTTTCTTCTTGCTAGGCTTCGAGCATTGCTTTTCATCATCAGTGTCAGCATCGACAGATTGGAAGATGGACTCCACGATCACATCGGTCTGCTCCGAAATGGTCTCTGCGTCCCACACCAAGTACAGCCGCATCGCCTTGCACAGCAAGGTGGCTTAAGAGAGTAGATAATTGGTTCCACATTTCACACATGGTATACCAAAGGCATTGCCAATAGTGTGAATACAACATCGAAACACAATATTTTAATTGTGTTACTACAGAGGAATATCGATCTATATGCATGCATATGCATGCTTTTGAAAGGCCAGCCACTCTGCTGCAAAAAGGGGTGCCTACATGATTTCTTAGGATAGGTCACTGACATCAAGTACCATCATAAAATTAACATGCCTGTGGTGACTGCATAGGGCTACATGCATGTGCACATGCATTAAGTACTCGTAAGACATAATGACTTGACATCCAGGCCTCGTTCCCTGGACAGTCAGGGTGCTCTTTGGTTTGAGTCCTCTTTGTCTCTTCGTCGACCAATTTTGAAGCTATTATAGCTTCGGCTATGCTGACTGAATCATACTTCTTGATGAGCTGGTCCTTGGTCAGCCACACACGTGCACCATAGGATGTATGCTTCTTTCTCTCCTTGATGGTCTTGTACATTGTGCTGCTGCTCCACTTGCCTTCGCACGCTTCCCACTCTTGCATCAAAACTTGTAATTTGTCGTGGCCTCAGCCATCACACATGTACAATGCACAAGTCAATTCGATAGTTGGTTTTTGTTTGTGAAACAAATATCTAGTTCGAGCTCAGTTACAACCCAGTTTGCAAGGCCTCTCTGGAATTTTAAATCAACATCCTCAAACACACAACTACAGGTTAAGTGAATGCAAAAGAGTCACAGTAAGCTGATGCAGCTCCAATCTTTCGAATCTCCTTTGGCGTTTTGGGGCCTGATACGGAACGAGCAATCGACATAGTCACATAGTACAGTACGTGACATCAATATGTGCACGCATATATATCGCATGCATGTATACCTGCTACTAGGGTTCAGGCTAAACCAGCTACCAATAGCAGTGGCACAACATAGGACTCCATTGATATTAAGTCATATTATGTGTCTTCAAGTGCTCCAGGGCATGTGCATCATTTTAGTTGCACATAATACCAGGAAACAACAAGCTTATATAGTTTTAGGCCCTGACAATGATGTCTAATTTTGCACATGTGCGATCGAGTGGCTTGAAAAGGATCTGGAGAAGCGCATATAGCGCGCATGAGCTGCTTTCTCAGCTGGGGTTTTCTCTCTTCGTTTCGGCTTCTCCTTCGGTTTCTCTTCTGCTGGTGCAGCTGCTTTCTCCGCTGGTTCTGACCCCTTTGCTGAGCGATCCTTCTCGATCTCCAGATCATGTGTCTTGGAAGCCACCTCACCTTCACTCAGCTTGCCCAGCTCATCTTGCACTTCCTCCTCTTCTTCTTCCTCCTCCTCACCCTCAGTATCCTCCACCTCACCTTCATCGTTCTCCCGTGAAGGCAAATCATCCCCATCAGGTTTCACTGGTGGGCAACATGATGGTGTTTGCTGTATGGATGAAGTTGCCCGGTGTAAGTTGTCTGATAGGGTGCGTTTGACCTCGAGGCTCAACTTCCCTTGCAGGCATGGCGTCACTGCTGATGGAGTGGGCGGAGCCTCATGTTTGACAGGGGGCTTGGCCAAAGCTTTCTTGGCACAAGCCCGGGCTGGTGCTGCCAATGGGGCTTCTGGTCCAGCCTGCAAAGGCTTCGGGTCTTCCAGTGTCAACCTTTCCAGCTCCTTCTGTGCCTGTTCAGCGGCCATTGATGAATCATGGTTTTCCTTGGCAAACTCGCTTGAGCCCTTCTGCTCTTGATTCTCACCAAAGGACGATGACAAAGCCAGCGGAAATGATGACTGATCTTGAAGAGACTGAGGAGGCACTTGCCCAGCTTCAGCCTGTTCACTACTGCCGCCACCACTGACTTCAACAGGGGCGTCTCCCTGGGGTGCCTGGGTGATGGCAGCACTGGTGACCTTGGGAACCGATTCTTCAGGTGTATCTTCCTTCGTGTCGTCTGTCTTCTCTTTATTTGCTTTCTTCTCCTTCTTCTTCTTCTTGTTCTTCTTGGTTTCAGCCACCTTGCTTGCTGAAGGTTCAATCACTGCCAAGGTTTTTGGCTCTGCGTCTTTTGGTGCAGACACTTCATGCACTGCAGGTGGCATTGTGTCTCGCCTTCTGATTTTGTCTGGTGGTGTTTGCAAGACCGGGACATTTCCCACGCGGACAACAGGACGCTTTTGCCCTGACCCTGCAGACTCTGGTGATGGCAGTGCGGTTGCTTCCTGGGCTCGCGCTTCTGCAACACCTCTGCGGGCATTTTCCAATGCCTCTGCATCTGTGGCTGGGACAGTCGATGCTTGGCTAATCCCTCCTGGGACAGGTGAAGGCAAGTTGTCCCCGAAACCAAAATACAGGCGTGTGTGCAATATGAAAAACGACAAGGTTACCAGTGTCACATGCAATTTGCATTTATAGCGCTGCTGTATCATCATGAGAGACAAGATTTGGAACATTGCACACACTTGTGTGTTTCTCGATCTAGTGATATCATTCACAAGTACTATGTCATGTAGCAACAAATTATGCAGCACATCATACACCTGCATGCATGAAAGAAAAAATGCATGCGATTATTATTAATATTGACATAAATTATTAGATCTAGACATGTTATAAAGTTCGATCTTAGTCTCACTAAAAAAATGTCGATCATGTTTTAAAAGTCAGCTCTCCTACTGAAGCCGGGGAGGCTGCTAGAGCCGGTGGAGCGTTGTCAAGGGCCACACGATCAGCCAACCTTGTGCATACGCAACCACTGGTAAAATTGCAATATACATTGCATCGATCATGTTGCTTTGCGTGTTTTGTATGGGCACTACTTAACACAACGTTGCTGACTCATATAAGGCATGGACAGAACTGAAACCCATGGGAATTGTTCTGGTGCAAGTTCATAGCCAAAATGCCGTTCAATCATAAGCTTTGCAACTTCAAGCTCCACTCGCCTCTTGGACCTGGCAGCAGCCTTCTGGAGGGCAGCATCCACTGCCGAGACCATGTCCCAAAAGCACAGCTCTAGGGCTGTGCACACATGCACAGGGCTAGCTATCCCAAATGGCCTCCAACATGTACTGATGTCATGTCACACCTGGTTCACGGTGGTTCACGCCCTGTTCACTCTAGTTCACGCCCTGTTCAACCTGCTCGGATTTGTGAGTTTTTTGGGGGGGTAAAGTTCACGGGTCGTTCACGCTTAGAAATGGCCGTTCACGCTATATAATGGTCGTTCACGATTGTTTCACGGTGTTTCACGGTCACCATTTTCCGGGGGACCATTTCCACAAAAAACATGAATTTGGGCTACTGATGCCTATATTACATCAAAGTTCATGTGCAGCAAGAAAAGCATTGCATACAAGAGTTGCTGTTTTTCGCATCCACGAAACCTGCCCATGTGTGGAATCAGGGCTTTGTAAATAACTAATTTGAATTTGTACAGGCACAATCGGAAACTACACAAGAGGTCCTGCACACATGTCATGTGATTGCAACATCACGCTTTTGCAGGTCGAATGATGGAACTCTGCACACACTACAAATTGATCACATGTGTCATGATTATATATAGCAGATCCCATCGACCATTCATGAATGTGCATGTGTGTGTGAAGATTCCACTCCTATATGCCAGGTCCAGTCGACTATAGGACTCGATGCGCACACACAAATTATTGCCACAGTGGACAAAATTGAGCTAACGAGATCTCATCAGCCCAGTCAGTTTATAGCCCCTCTCGGAGCAAAGGCTTGTACTCGCGCTGTTGCACCTTCTCAGAGAGATGTGCCTTGATTTGGGCCAAGCCAGCGTGTTGCCAATTCCATGGGGCCTCACACAGCGGTTGGGTTCACCGGTTAAACGATTTTCAAAATAACATAACACAGATCAGAGAAATCCTCAGATCTAGCTAGTATTACCATCACACCAAAAACATTTGTAGACACAGTTTTCAATGCGCTGCAAGCACAATTTGTATGTATGTTTTCATGCTTGTAACATGCCTGCAGGCATGCTGCCATAACATGCCTGCACACATGCATGCATGCATGCACAGAATCAACTTAACGCATTGGTCTTATATATTATATGTCATATCATGTATGTGCATGTGCATTACACTGTACTACTATTAGTAGGCCTAATATGTTAATAATGATAATTTATTATTTAATAGTGATACTGATACTCTTTGCAAAGCACAGCAGTGTGCTGGAAGGCCTTCTGGATTGGATTGGCAGGCACAGGAATGTACTCCTTCTTCAAGGCGCGCTTGTCTGCCTTGTGGGCAGCATAGGTTTGTGCATAGGTCGAAACTCCCCGAGGTCCCACCAAGCAAACCACCCAGGATTTATTCATGAATCACTGAACACCGACGATATTACAAAGGTGCAGGCAGTTAGACAACATGCATCCTAGAAGCTGATTGTTTGACAAACTCAGCATGGTTTCTAGCAAGGAATTCTGCAAACTTCTTCGGGTAAACGGCCGATCGTTTCAGGCCAGCACAGCCAGTCCTGGGCTATGTCAAGGACACCAGAACAGCTTCCAGCATAATGATCTCACAAAGTCAGTGAGGTCAGGTTCATGTCAATATCACACAACTCGATCGTATTTTATATAATAATATTCCCATGATCCTCCTGCCAACACAAAAAGGGCGTTAATCATATATTGCTGCATTGTGTGCATTGTCAGTGGAGTATGTCAACGAGTAAAAGCGGTCGAAAAACATGCATGCAAGCTTGTACCTTTTGCACTAGTTGCAAAACAAGACTCACTTGGACTTTGCCTGTCTTCTTGTTGATGGTTTTACGAACCGTTTGAAACTTCTTCAAAGCCTTGTTCTTTTGGATACGTCGCTTGTCACGAGCTGTGAGCTTCCGGGCAAAGCTGCCAATATAGGGCCTGGGCCAAGCAAGTCTGTCATGACATGTTGGCAGGACAGAAAGGCTTGTCGCAGCAGGTCTTGATCGTCATAAGGCCCGGGCAGTGTCCCAAAGAGCACTGTCGGTTTTGTATTGGGATGACCAAACGCACCCATAGGACTCAGTTCAACAGGCGAGCCCAATCACATACATTATACCGGGACAAACTTTATTGTCCAGTGTCCAATGCAGATTGGGGGGGGGGGGGGGGGGGGGGAGGGGGGAAATGGTTCACAAAATTGCAAATCTGTCAGCAAGGTTCAATCGACACATGTCCCAAAACAGAGGCTGGAGGACAGTTGCCATGTGGACCATATAAGGATACGACAGCATCAGGCTGCTAGATGGTTGTTCTCCAAGAAAATAACATCCTCTTGCAATGGCAATCAATCCCAAGAGGATGAAGCGGCACGTGATCCTAACAGAATTGACTGAGATTGAAGGGCGACCAAAGCCAAAACATCATTTGCAAAACACGTTGTAGTCGTTGAGAACAGACATCAGTTTTATACTATATAATTATAATAACGTACATGATCCATTTTTCTATATATAGATCGATCGATATAGTATAAATCACACAGCTTAGGAACAACACTGGTTGTCAAACAAGATTCGTATTTGCATTTCTGACATAGTCCCGAGCGCAATTTCCAAGTATGTTGCGTTTGCTCCTTCCCGATGTACTGCGGTTGACCCACACCCAGCTGTTGCACGGAGGCCCTCCTACCAGAAGGCCCTTTGGCTGGAGTCTTAGCACCATGGTGAGGATGCTCCTGAAGCCATCCCTCAGAAGGTCATCGCTGCAGTGGTGGCATGTAGTGGAAAGCAATAAAAGCAAAGTAGGTCCTTTGCATCTAGAATTTGCACTCATAATGGGAATCATTGTTAAACAAGTCATGACTGTTTATAGAACTGATCAAAGCAAAATATTCTACATCTATTCGAGGTCATTCTGCAGGGTTTATCTCAAATCTACCACCAATGGTTGCCTCCAGCAGACCGCTTCTCTACACAAGCTGGGTTATAGGCATTGACAGGATGTCGCAATGGTCACCCTCGGCAAGGTCAAAGTGCCCCCTCAGCCACAGTCATCGCCAATGGCCAAACTAAAATTAATCGCTCATAACTTAGCTCAAATGCAAATCACACATGATTCTCATGCCACTTGCTTTTAGTTTGGCCAAGTGCCACGACTCAGTGTTCACTCTCGATGGGTGTGTTCACAATTGCATAAAAACTTGAAATAGACTGAGCTCATGAGGTAAGCAGGTGATTTGGTAGGCACAGCATGCACACACTTGCAGTACTGCAGTGTTTCCACCCTTCCACTACCCAGCAGCCGTTTGGGTCCCCAACACCTTTGCCCCCTGAGCTCCTCAGGATCATGCGATATACAAAATCTACAACACTCGGGCTCGCTATTAAATACGCATGTACCATTCATCACAGTCTCGAGATACCTGTCCCCAGAGTTTTCCCTGATTGATCAAATTGTTGGTTTAACTTAATTTATAAATTTAATTAATTATAATTGAGGCAACTTAGATTCGATGCCTCTCACTGAGATCCTGGCGAAAGGCACGGGTAATTTCTGCCTGCCCGCAGAAAGCATCCACAGCCCATAGATCCTGCCACAGTTTGGCAACCCATGACCATAGTGTGACATGTTAGACATCATCATCGATCTAGCTAGCTGTGTTGGACCAATTGTGATATATTCAGCATAAGCTCCAGACACGGCGGCTCTTACTCATGGGAACATCTTGGGCGATACAGTCACATAGATGGAGCCTGGGCATGTTCTCCAAATGGCCAACTAAAAACAAACTCTCCCAACTGACCATCGAGTGCCCTACAATTTGCATATATCATATATCGGTGAAATCAGCTAGTGGGTCGAGTATATGCCTGGTAGTTAATAAGCCAAGTAGCAGCAAAAGTGGTACGCCCCAAGAAAGAAGTAGGTTTGAAGCTTTGACACTCAAAGCTAGTGGCGAGTGGGCCCATGACTTTCCAACCGCCATCGGACGCACCTAGGTCCTGCAACTCCCTGTCAAGATCTGCTTGGGCTGCAGGGATGCTCAGCTCTGTCAAGGTCCAATACATGTCTGTTCTTTCCAGCGTAGAAAAAAAAGCTCAGATTTGATGGCATTCAAACTGTCTTTTTTTTCCCACTCTTGTTCTCCCAGTACGATCATATGATCGCATGCAAGAGCATACCCCTGCACACACCAACTGGAGTTGAGACTGACCATTCTCTGAGCTGGGCTTCAGGCCATCGATGCCAGATCAACGGCTTTGCGTCAGGCTGTAAGGGGGACTTCAGTATATTGAGGATGTTGAGAGTGGAGAAGAAAAGTCACACTACCCGGAAGTTGGATCAACCCGTACAGAAAAGACTCAAATAGTGGCCAGGCTCCTAGTTCCACGTACTATGGTGTGAAGAACACCTTTGTTTTAAATCATCGATTGTTCCCAGCAGTGACACATCATTCATTCGTTGTGTACAGACTTGAATCTGGATCAAGTTATGCAGGTCTCTATGCATGAGCATGTGCCTGTGCCACCTCTGGGGAGACGATCAACTTTGCAGCTATTGTACATCCAAAAGTACAATCCATATCACTAGCTCGAACACGACGCGCGCAAGGCAATCATTCTTGCGCAGATTTCCTTGGCCACCCAGCTGCGTCCTTGGCGAGATTCCACCTGACAAATGGACTGCGGGGGATTCCCATCCCATGTCATGCAATAAAATGTTCATGATCCTAAAGTCTTTCCAAGATCACCCGGGGTTGGAGATTGCTGAGCTGAAAATACTTCGATCTATAATTATCAGATATATCGATCACACGCAAACTGCCAGTGAGATGCAGTCACACAGGCTAGGTGCCCCAACGCAGGCCCACAGCCACCATGCACGTTCCAAGTGATGGTAACCCCTTTCTTCTGTGCCTGCCAGGAGTGCAGAATAGCAACAAGAAAGCGATTGGCCCATTTAAACAAGTTGTGTGGTAAAATCAAACTGACTAGCTAGCATTCCAAAGCGACGTTCGGCTTGCCTTGAGGGGTACCTGGCCATTTGCCATGTGTTCATTGATTTGCTTTACACGCTCCTCCAACGAGTCTACCTTGGAAACCTGGTAGCTGGCTGTGTTGCTGCGAGTTGTCGCCATCCTGGGCAAACAGATTTTGTCGACATCATGTGTAATAGATTGCATTTTCAAGACTGAGCTGGTTACCACTGCGAAACAGTAATATGGGTGGCCATCCCATTTCAACTATGCATGTTTTATATTTTTCTCAGCACTGAACATTACACTGGCTTGGCCCCCGGCACGACCCCAATTGAAGAGAGGCGAGGGTGCCCTTCTGGAACATCCGGCGGGTAGACTGTGAAGGACCTGGTCAATATATGAGCTAGCACCCATAAATATTATATATATTATATGGTATATATGAATTGAATATTATACCCACATCATAGTGGCTATATATGGTCATCTGTGTGCATGTGTATCCAACTACGATTCTTGATGTCAGTTTGATCAGGAGATCACTCAGGCAACCTGTTTGTTTTCTATAGAACTGGGGTGCAAGCATTGCTGAGCTTGCACTTTCGGGAACAACCATTAGATCATCTTGCTCAGCAAGAGCAGCAAGCATCGCAATCTTGTCCTCCTGAGGCGACCAGGCGACCAGGAGATCAATGTCTCCCTTGGAGGCACATAAAGAAAAAAGGGCTGACTGTGCAATGTCATATGGTGAAGACCCTCTAAGTCTAAAATGGACTGATATAATCGAGTTGATCGATCCTTGAGAATGTTCTTTTTCTTCGCTTTCTGATGTTCCTGATTCTCGTTTGGCTGTACCTTTGCTGGATCAGTTTTTCCTCCTGCTTCTTGAAGAGGTTCACCTGTTCCTTTCGACTTAAGAGACTTGCCCTGGGTTGATGAGCTTGCCATCTCTGTATTGTCAGGACGATTGGTGATCTTCACTCGCTTCTTCTTGGAAAGAGGACTGGCACCCTGATTCGACTTCGAACGCTTGAGAAGGGCACGGCGTCTCGACTTTGTCCGCTTCAGATTGGGTTTCGGACTCCGATGCGTTGATGTCTCTTTCTGACGATGACCTTCCTGGTCCAGGGGTTCTTTCGTTTCCCCCGTCTCAGCTACCTCCGGTGGAATCACTTTCTCTTCCTCATTCTGGTCATCCACCTTTTTCTTAGCCTTTTTTCTCCCAATCTTTTCTTCTTTTGTCAGTGCATCATCCTTCGGGATAGTCTCCTCCATCTCATTTTTTGGCTTCTTTCTTCCTCTTCCACCACCGCCACGACCCCTGCCACGACCTTTTCCCTTCCCTCGACGAGCTTTCATAGCCTCTTGGGCCTCGGCATCCTGTAGAGCATCTGCTAAATCTTTGTCAGGATCCTCAGGGTGCACCTCCTTGGCCATTTGGCGCAATGCTGCCTGGGCCTCATTGGGGATCCAAAGAGAGATGGAGGGGAACAATGATTGGCCATGAATTTATAGTTTATTTTGTTGTTATTCGAAAGACTGGGAACGGTTCTCAACAACATGATATGATATACTTGCTCTTTGGACAAACGGATGGGGGCTGTGAGATAGGCTTGAGTGGCATTATATAAACTACCTCTTCGAATCTCTTCGATCTATGTTTGACCAGCTTTTGATTGAATTATACGCGTATACGTTTTACCCTTCGCCCAAAGTTTTGAACATGCATGATCAGGTCGCACCTTTCTTTTGGGGGATTGCGCTTAGGCATGGCTGCGCATGCCTACAGCAATATGTGCATGCACAGATCCCAGCCAGGCCTTCAAGATTTCTGCTTCATGCTCCTCCTTTGTGACCCCCAGGTCCAGAAGAATGCGTTGGGCCTGGACTTTTGCCTGTTCTTCGAGGCCTTGAGGAATCTCAATCTGTGGGGTCAAAGCCTTCTTGTCCTATACAACAAGGCACAAAAACTCAATTGCATTTGAGATATACCTTGATTGAATTTCGCTAAACTACCAAACACAGTCGGGAGAGAGTGGGACTACTCAGCATTCTGGAAACATTAAATTAAAGAATTTCCGGCAATACATGTGCACTATATATACAAGAATGGAAGTGAGTCCTTGAAGACTCCTTTGCTCTTGCGTTCTTCATTCTTTTCATCATCGTCAGACACCATCAAAGCCTCCACAGCCTGTTTGACCTAACTCATGATGGGAATCCTCGGGTTCTGCAGGCTTAGGTTCAGCATTTTGCACCACCACCATGCTACCACTTCCAGGACCATCAATGGCCACTTCGGGAACTGGCTCGACAACTTCAGGCGCCGGGGGCTTGTTGCCCTTGTTCGGAGAAAGCAGAGTTTCTTGGTCACTGTCAACGACATAAACACATTCAAAATGAGGGTCAACTGGTTCTACAATCTCATCGTCTGCCTCGAGTTCTTCCTCAGCTGATTCCTCTGTACTAGACCCACTAGAGTCCTTTTCCATCTCAACATCATGATCAGTTCTTTCCTGATCATTGGGCAACTCCAACTGTAGTCTTGAGATAGGAGAGAGGTCCGGAAGCTGGGAATCATGCATCAACTGTGTCTCCATCGAGTCCATGAGAACTGCTTTCTTGGCGGCCTGACGCATTGAGACCATGCATGCACGATTATGTAGTTGATCTGATCTATGGCGTCCACAGTGTCCACCAACTATACTACTAGAATCCTAGGCTCAATTCATCAAATGACATGTTTTATAGTGCCAATATGACAGTTGTCCAGCCTCCTGCTGCTTCAGTCTAGCAGCGCCAACACCCCGGGTCGGAGTCTTCTTCCCGTCAGGGCTGAGAAGATCGAACTCCTGATGGATCAAACTGAGTGGAGATGGATGGGCAGGATAGACTTGCATGCTAGCTAGCACATAGTACCACTAATAGCTAACAGGGGTATATTGAAACGACCAACTTGACCACTTGACCACTAACAGGCAATTACAATTTTGTTTTCTTGATCTTATAAGCACACATGAAACACCTACTTGTTTTGCAGAGACTGGTCCAAAATCTATAAGATTGTCACGTCAGTTAATCTAGTGCACTTGGCAGAAAGTTATAGATCGATAGATTGATCGAGTTCTGCACTGCATGCCTGCAACGTTTTACAACACATGAATTACGTTAATTGCTGCTTGCTAAGCTTGCATGACTTGTTCTTTCATGTAAGCATGCACATGCACACAACAAAGCATGCAAGCCAGTCCATAAGCTTGCAACGGATCACTTCTTTGATTTGCTGCATGCGAACATGGCCTCGCCTGGCAAAAGTCATTGACAAATAATATATATTATAGCATGGATGCGTTTACAACAAATGTTCAAGCACGAGTAGGTCAGTAATTTATCTCAGATCATGTTTTCTCCATGAGCCATATTATAATATTGAAGTGCATGCATCCATGGAATCAAAGAAGTCGCGTCATAGCGGTGAATGCACTCAGGTTCATGACTGACCATTGGCAGGAAAAAAGGCCAGCCTCGTGTCCTGGTTCCGTTGGAATCTGGCCAGGCAATATGCCATGGTTGCCCTCAAGATCCCTCCCTCAACATCTGCCCACTCCTGCCAGATATAGGCTAAGGGAAATGCAATTACCATTTCATGGTGTCAAAGACGTAAATTATTATACAAAAACAATAGCTGGCACATTTGCATTCTGCAAGCTCGTTGTCCAGCCATCACATCAGCACTTTGTTTTGAATTGGGCCTCATGGAGGGCAAACTCCTTGAATGGATTCAGGCGGTAGTGTGAGGAGCACCAGGCCAAAGCGTCCTGGCAAAGTGCACAATCAAGTATGCAACATACTGTATAGATCGCACAGGTTGAATCCACATCGATCTATTCACTTTCCTCATGCAGACCCCTTTGAAATCAAGCAAATAAGATATACACACTATGATCTACTATAGCGCATTTCAATCATCATACATGCAGTGGCCCTGGTTGAGCCATCCCACCTTAACTTCCACTGGCCGTGGTAAATCATGAGCGAACGAAGCCAAAAAGTTCAGAATGAACTCAAAGTTCACGTCGCTTTGCACCTGTCAAGTTATGACAGGTACTGTGGATCTAATTCACACTATGTGTATCGACCATGCCCTCGCTGGACATGTTGCTGGACTTATGCACACATGCGCGCGCATTCCCAATTCCAATGTAAGAAATGCTGGCCCTCACCTCCCTGGATCCCACATGGCTTTTCTCAAGCACGATGAACTGCCACTTTGGAACCTGGGTCCAATGGTGCTCAAGCTCCATCACATTTTATAGTATTTTACAGCCTTGATCAAGAGAACAGTCACAATAATATTATACGACTTCTCCATCACTGTGTGTGCATGTGCACTCGCAATAGTGAATGAACAGTGCATATATATGCACCATATTTGAAAGCTGTCAATAATATTGGGGACTCCGTTTACACTCAACCAAACACTTTGTCAAATCAAAGCCGAGGCTAGAACCACATTTTTGTCCTTTGAAGTAAGCCCTGCTCTCTGCCTCAAAAGTTTACGTCGCTGATAGAGGAAACTCTCATCGTCCAGGACATCAACCAAAAAGGCCTGTGCGACCCAGCAAATAGCAGACAACGAGGCAACTCCTATGCATGCACATTGCACATACGTGCACTACCTGAAACCGCAAACAACATCGAAAAAGGTCATGGACCAATGTTCCAACCAGCGCTATCTCGTTGTTTCTGGTAGAACACCACTACAAGACTGCATGCATGTTGGGTGCACCTTGAGAAGTTCCACCCGCTTCAAAGAGGCAGATTCGGGAGAAGCCATTGCCAACTAGATCAGCCAAAGAGACACAGGCTGCAAACTACCGTCGATCCATATTTACATGCATGCATGCATCTGTCGCGCAACATCGCACAACCATGCGACTAAACACTGCAGCACAAAAAACCTCTCCATCCACAATCTCAAAAGCAGATCTGAGAAACTTGTTTGCTAGCCAGGAAAGAACGAAACATAGGATGGCGCACCACTCCCAATCTCCACTGTAGGCCCAGTGGAGATGTCAAGATATTCACCTAGCTGCCAGAACACAAGGCCAACAAACACCATGCACTAATGCATTGTTGCAGTGATTGATGCATGCACAAACCTGGACCAGGAGACAACCAAGCCCAGCACGTTTTTTGATAGCCCTCTTCATTTGCAGAAGCCAGCGGCCACATGAGAAGGAACATCGCGCTCCAGGGATCTAAAAATATCAAAAGCATAATGCATGCATACAGTGATAGATGTTTCATCACATCGGTCAGTGATACTCCAAATATGTTGACACATTCCCAAATCCGTGTCAGTGTGGCCCTATATGGCCTATCATTTAAAAGTCATCATCCTCATATCAATCCACAATAATTGAAATTTATTAATCCCAATACCTCAGTGCATTGCAATTGATCAATTGATTGATCCAAGACAGGCCAAGCACAGGCAATTCCCTCTCTGGCCACCCCTAGGTGAGGTCAAATGTGCTTTGACCAGGATATAATGGTCGCTATGCAAAGGCGATTGTTTTTATAGTCTTTGACGCCTAGGGTTAATCCATTGTATTTGCTGCCCGGTTTGCCGTTCTCTCCTTTTCCGCAGGAGGATTGGCCGTGGTGGTACTGGGGCTCTGACTATCCGAAAGAGCAGTGGCCTTTCTTGCGAAAGCCACTTGCAGCATGGCAGTTGCAGACCTGTATTTGGGCAGAACCACTATAGATCATTATAGATCGGTTCCAGGGCCCCCTAAGGGGTTGATAGTTGGACACCCCTTAGGGGGCCCTGCATATTGTGTGCGTGTGTGTGTGTGTGTGTTGTGTGCATATCATATCACATCATGCCCCAGCAGTATGTGAGCTAAAATCCCGATTTACCATGCGTCCGATTGGTTGTCCGTCACCCAAAACAAGGATCCGAGTCCTCACCTTGAGTTGTGTGGGTGGGTTGGCACTGGGTGACCACGACCAGCAAGTTGACACCCGAAACATTTCGGGAACCTCCCCTGGCCGGGTGGCTCTTGGACTCTCCAGCCCTTATATCAGTCGTTGTTCCGGCGAGGTCGGTGCTCTTCAGCGGTGACCAGCGCCGGACCTTCAGCAGCCCGGGCGAGTTGAATGCATTGCTGGATCCTCAAGTGCGAAGAGAGCTCCGAGCAGCAGAGGAGTTCCATGTACGGGGGCGAAGAGGCAGGTGGTTTAGGATGTGGGGGGGAGCCTTGTTGGAGCTGGTTGCTGGATTCTATCGGATTGGCATCCTCCAAGAGTGACCACGGTAGATGAATATGATTTCCAACACATGTAGAACTACACCTATTAGGATCGCTGTATTTTGGGGGGGAAGTGGGAGCAATGAGATTCGACAGAACTTCGTGTGCCTAGTGCAGACAGGTCTGGTTACCAAGCTATACGAGCACTAGTCACTAGGTATCGTCAACGTCATTTGATTGGCAATCACCATTTTTAGTTTCTCTTGGGCTTTGCCACCTGGAGCTTCTCTTGAAGCCTGTATCAGTCGATTGTGTCACGTCCAGGGCATCCATATTCTTGGGGCGCGGGCATCCATACCAGGACCTGCTGGAGACCAAGAAGGCTGAATTGGGAGAACAGAAGCTTGGAGGATAATATTTGGAGAACATATCAGGCTGAGGAGCCGGACGAAGAGAGGCCAAGCCTACCCCGGCCCAGCCCGGATCTCGAGGCCCATCCGGCATCCCCCATGTGGCTCCCATGTGGGGCCTGGGGTCCATTTGGTCAGAGGGTCTCCCTCCCCCAAAGACCTGATCTGGGCAGGTTGGGATTGATGAACCGGTTCGTTCGGTGGGGAGACGAAGCACAGCCCTCTTGACTGAGAAACAGCGTTCTGAACAGCATGGCAAGCATTCTTCTCCGCCCCCAGCCACTGAGAGGTGTTGGAACTCCAACGGAACCAGCTCTACCTGGCGAAGCTTGGATGCCAGCAACACCTGGATGACCTTGGGGCAAGCGCTACAGAGCTCAGAGCCTTGGAGATCAGAAGCTGTAGGATCTGGGCTGGTTCGCGCCATGTTGTTCTCCGCTTGGTGGGGCAGATATGACTTGTATTTAAGACTTGCTTTTGAACAGAGAACTTCCTTTGAGAATGAGGATTCTTAGACATGTTTTGCTGTTGATAGACAGAAGCCCTGGAAACGGTTAGACCATGTGAGACCACATCCCTCTATGAACAGACTGAATATAAAAGTTATATATATGGGCAACTTCTACATGAACAGAACAACATGACTGCCAATTCATTTGACATGTTTTTTTATGTGTTTCGTTCACCCACCGCCCCAGCCCAGCTCCCAAGTCTGCCCAGGAGGCTCGACAAGCCTTACGGAATTGTGACCTGGCACCAACAGAACGTCATCGGAAATTGACATGTGTGGTCCAGAAAGAACCGTTTGGGGAGGTGAGAATTTCCATGAACTTTGTTCGAATGGCCGTTGTCCGTCAGGGCCTTCCAACGTTGGGCACCACGAAACGCACCGGTGTTTCCGTCTCAGAAGTCGGCTTGAGACGGCCAGAAATACGCGAAGCGCGTTGCAATCAGACGTATATCCGGGTGGGTTTGCTGCTAGCGTCGGACAGTCAAGTCGTGTCGAGGAGATTTCGGCAGATGACTTGAGGCAAAGCGTCAAAGACATGGATGACCCGGGACACGACCCATGGGACTGGCATATTTAACAATCAGTGGTTGATTTCCGGGGTCAATGTAGGTAAATCTGCCAGTCCCATGGAGTGTTTGGGTATGTTTGGGTTATATATGTT